TCTGACGCTGGCTTGCATGTGTGGGATGAGGGTGCACACACGTGTTCTCAGGAGCCTGTGAGCCGGGGCTGCACTCCTGCCCCCGTGCCTAGTGCCCATCTGCCAGGCTGAGTGCCTTCCGCTGGCCGCGGCCAGGACTGCAGGCACCTCTGGCTCCCTGGGAGCCCATCACTGCGACGACCTGAACCATCTACCAGGCTGCTGCAGGGACAGCTGGTTGATGGATGGGCCGTGCAAGAGGTGGCTATGGGCCGGGCGCAGCGGCTCACGCCTTTTATCCCAGCACTGTGGGAGGCCGAGGTGGGTGGATCACCTGAGGTCGGGAGTTTGAGACCAGCCTGGCCAACGTGGTGAAACCCCATCTCTACTAAAAACACAAAAATTAGCTGGGTGTGGTGGTGGGTGTCTGTAATCTCGGCTGCTCGAGAGGCTGAGGCACGGGAATTGCTGGAACCCGGGAGGCAGAGGTTGCAGTAGGCCGAGATTCCGGCATTGTACTCCAGCCCAGGCAACAACAGTGAGACTCCATCTCAAGGAAAAGGAGGTGCTCATGAAGAGGTGTATCCTGAATCCGAATCTGTGTGGCCGAGGGATCCAGGGAGATGCAGGAGAGGTCGGCCCTCTCCTCTGCAGCATCCAACCCAGGCCTTTCCCTCCAGCAGGTGTCGCCTCTTCCTCTGTGGCTGCTGTGCCAGCACTGGCCTCCCACCCACCGCGCACCTCCAGCTCCTCTTGCCTCTGGAGGCTGAGCCCGGGCCAGGCCAAGCGGTTTCTCTTCAGCTACTAGAGCAGCAGGTGGGCCGGGAGAGGCAGGCTCATCCTCCCTCAGGCCTCAGGCAACGCAGGGTCGGGAGGCCTCGAGGGGACTGGCCCTCTCACACTCCTGAGTGCAGAGGAGGCATGGGCTTGGGGACTGGGCTCACAAGGCTGACAGCTGCCTCCAGTGGCCCTGAAGCACCCGTGCAACGCGTGGTATTAGGCTGGGGTCCTTAAAGGCAGAGGCGGGGACAGGCATTTTGGTGCACTAAGGGGTCTACTGGGGAGGCCGATGCCTGGGCCGGATCCACCTTGAGCTGTGGACAGAGTTTCTCACGAGGCTGTGCAGTGGGGCCAGGACGCCCACACTTGTGTCATCACCCAGTCATTGGGCAGGGGCCTCCGGGGTGCATCTGTAGCCTCCCAGGCAGTCCTGGGGCAGGGACAGCCGTGAGTGGCTGGCAGTGATGCCCCAGCCCCAGGGAATGGGTACTGGGCTCAGAGAAGGGGACTCAGGGGCCCCAGCAGCAGCTCCAGGGGATGTTGACACACCCATGGCCCAGCAGAGCACGGGCTGCCCGCCGGCTGCTGTGGTGTGGTGCTGGGGAGGGAGGTCTGCAGCGGCCAGAGAGGACGGCCCTTGACAGCTGCAGGCACTGCGGGACTCTGTGCTGCCTGGGTGGGGCCTGTGGTGGGCGGAGCTGCAGCAGGGATGGGGCAGGGGTGGGGCCAAGTCCCAGTTGGGAGCAGCCCGGGGTCCTGTGGGGTCAGAGGCCTGTTTTCCAGGCCTGGGTACCTGCTGAAGCTCTGGTTACTGGCACCAGTCTGCAAAGTGGGTTGGGTGGTGGGAGCCTTCAGGATGGGCTGGGAGGGCATACTGGGGGAGGGGAAGGGTTACCACATGGGTGGAGGGGCCCAGGTGCTGCCGCAGCCTGCTCCCCACAGTGGGTGGCCAGAGCCCCTAGTATCCAGCACCCACACGTGGTGGCCTTGGCATCTGAGTGGCTTTCCCTGTGAGCCCCTCCTTGCAGGATGGAGCCTCTGGGAGTCGGGAGTGAGGAGGAAAGGTGTTGGGCTGTGCAGCCCCTGCCTCCTCACTGGTGGGACCCTGCCCTGCTGTGCAGTGGGGTCCTTCATGCTGGGATCTCTGTGGTCCCCATTCTTGGAGAGATGCCCAGGGCAACAGACAGAAAGGGTGGAGGGCAAAGGAGGGGGAGGAGAGAGAGGCAAGCCGAGGGGTGGGTTGGGGGGTGGGCTGGGGCAGTGACTTCCATGGAGGAGAGGCCTTTCATAAGCTCCAGACTTCCTGTGGCCACAGCAGGACCAGAGTGGACCAGCGCACCCCAGGAGAGAAGACTGGGGTCCTGGGAGGAGGAGGAGGTGAGTGAGTTCCCTGTGGTCCTGAGGCTGGGTGGACAAGGGGCTACCAGGAGTTCCACTCAGCCTGTGATCTGAGGATGACTCTGACTTTCAGAAAAGTCGAGATAGAGACCAAGTGCCCCTGTGAGCCGCAGGACCGGGGTGCCCGGCATGGGGTGTGGCCAGGAGGGGCTGGGGCGGTGGGAGCCTGGGGCTGCCTGAGCTCTCCCCAAGGGCTCCCTTCTGCGGGTCTCAGACAACATCAAGGGCCGTGGGGGAACAAGGAGAGTGGACGTCGAGCAGAGAGCGGCTTGTACTTCAGGCTGGACGCCTGTGGCCCTGGCAGGGGTCCCACTGAGTCAAGCCAGGTTTCTGGGGTGGGAGGGTCCAGGGACTGGGGAGCTCTTGGGCTGCCCACTGGTGCCTCTGTGATCAGATCAGGAGCCCAGCCCACAGGTGCCTCCTACCCCAACGCCTGGGTCTTATCTGACTGCCCTTGGCTGGGGCGGGCAGCTTTCCCACCTAGTGAGGTCTTTCCCTTGCAGAAGGGCTGAAGTCCCTGATTTAAGCCAGCAGCTTTCCTGCCGGGTGAGGCCTTTGCCTTGCAGAGGGGCAGATTCCCTGGTGGGGATACTGGGGTCACACACTAGGAGGGGGTGTGCAGTGGGGGGGGTGTCCCTGCTCGGCTGCAGGGAGTGGGAGGGCCTGGGTCACTCAGGACCCTGGAACCCTACTGTGTGGGAGGTTGGTGCTCCTAGACCCAGCGCCTTCACTCAAGTCATGCCCTCAGCTCGTGCCCTCAGCTCAGCACAGGGGGGTAAGGGGCCTGACCGGGAGTACTCTGCCTCCTGAAGGCCAGCATTGGTGCAGGGTGAGGGGCTGGGGTGACCAGTCGAGGGGAGCGGGAGTGCAGGGGAGGCAGAGTGCGGAGCGGGGGGTGGGGCAGGGGGGACTGCGGGGGAGGGGATATGGGAAGCGGGGGTGCCCGGAGGCGGAGTGCGGGGAGGGGGATGGCGGGGCGGGAGTGATGGGGGAGCTGCATGAGGGGAGTGGGGCGGGGAGCGGAAGTGGGGCAGGGCGGAGGGGGAGCGCGGGGGAGCGAGTGCGTGGAGCTGGAAGTGCAGGGGAGCCGCGGAGGGAAGTGCCGGGGAGGGGAGTGCGGGGGAAATGGAGTGCAGGAGAACCCGCTGCCATTTCTCCGTTCAGCTCCGGGCCTGGCAAGCTGACATGCGGCCATATCTCCGAGTGGCACCTCTGGGCACTGGTCCTTGGCCTCTGAGTGTCCCTCAGCTGCTCCTCAGAGCACCCTAAATCCAACCTCCATTCCCAGCCCCTTTGAGCGGGCCCAGCCTGGTTTTCCCTGGCGCTCCTTGTAGCCCACTCAGCTCTCTAGTGGCCCTGGCTGCCTCCCTGTCTCGGCCTCAGAGCGGCGTGCCCATGGCACACACACCCTGCATCCCCGGCTGGCGTCCCCCAGACCCACCCGCTGCCCACTCCCGCTTGGGCAGCTGTCACTCTCCTCCACAGGTCTCTGATGACCCTTCCGCCTCCAGGGCCAGGCTGGGGCCACAGGGACTCCACTGTTCAGCAATCAGACATTGCCTGGAAAGCTCGCGCGTGGCCTTGGCCCTGAGGAGCCCCAGGAGCAGGAGGCCCCGTGCCTGTCCCAGCCACCCCTGCACTGGGCTTGGGGACAACTGGGGGCTGGAGGTCCTCCTGTCACTCAGAGCAGCCCCCAGTGGTGTAAATGCCAAGAGGAAGGAGGGAGTGGGAGGCAGACCCAGCTCCAGCCTTGGGTCCTTGAGTTTCAGGCAGCTGGGAGGTATCCCCTAGACAGCAGGTTGCAGGCCTCTGGTCCCCACACGTGAGGAGTGGAGCCTGGTGTGGGGACAGCCTGCCTGGCCTTCGAGGATGTGGAGAAGCTCTGGTGTTGTGGTCAGGGAGGGGACAGACCCGGGGACGGCTGAATGGCATGGCCTCTTCCCCTCCACAGCCGGAGCACCATGAGCTCCCGAGCCCCTGCACACCTCGGCCTCGGCCTCTGCCTCTGGCTGTGGCTGAGCACCACCCTGGGAAGAGAGCAAGGACAAGGTAAGGACACAGGCAGTGGACCCCTGCTTGCCCCCAGGCCACACCTGCCCCACCAGTGCCCACCAGGGCGGACGAGCCCTCTGCCCCTGCGCCCGGCCTTCCTTATAAGTTGAATGCCTGCTGAATTCCGAGCAGCTCCCACAGCAAAGGGAAGAGGATGGGACGGACGGGAGGGAGCGTGTGCTCCCGCCAAACCCTCAGCCTCGCCTTGGGAACGCACCTGTGTGGTTCCGTTCTTCGTTACATCAATGCTTGGCTGAGAGTTACTCCACGAACACCTTTTGGAGCAGTCTCCAGGAAGCAGGAGGCTGGGGTGAAGATGGGGCCGCCTTCCCTCCTGCCTGCTTCCCACCGGCGCCTCCCACTGGTTTTTTGGGCACATAGCCCTCTGGCTTCTCCCAGTGAGGCACCCGCATTTCCACGGAGCACCACCTCCTCCGTGCACATCCCTGGGCGACCGCACCACAAGCACCACGTCCTCAGAAGGCCCCTCCAGTCTGGCTGCTACCGGTTGGGGCGTTTGGGTAACGTAGGGCACCGCCCATGGCAGCAAAAGGAAATGTCAGAGGTGCTGTGGGCTCACCTGTTGAGCAGCTTCTTCCTCCCATTGAGAAATGTGGGTTTAGATTGATTCCAGGAAGGTGAATCTCTGTCTGTGGAGAAGGCTTTGGGCCTCGGCCATGCTATAAACTTGTTCCTGGGCTGGGCCAACGCGGCCCCTCCCGGCACCTGCAAGCTCCTGGGAGGTTTTGGGCTCCCACTGAGTGATGGTTTTATTCCGCTGGGGTGAAAAGCAGGAGGTGGCAGCTCCCCCTTCTAATGTGCATTTAAAGGACCACCACCAGGGCCTGATAGGCCGGGCAAGGGAGCCTCCACGGGTCGCTGCCGTTGCAGAGGGGCGGGTGAGATGCGGGAGCCCAGGTCTAACATGCTTCCGAATTTCGTGGCTTGTCTCGCGTGCTGAGGTGCCCAGTTTGCCCTGCACGCAGGCAGCAGGCTGTTGCATGAGCAGGTGCCTTGGTCCCCTCAGCTCAGGCAGGGTAACCCTGCCCTGAGGCCAGTGGAGGCCGAGATTTCAGTTTGAGAGAAGCTTCCACTGTCAATTTGAGACAAATCAGTAAATGGTTCTACAGAAACAACTTGAGTTTAGGCAAATCTAGTTCTGTCTAGTTCAGGATTCAGCACGATGGGACCGCCCCTCACAACAGCCTTTCAGAGACCATTGAGTCCCCGAGGACAGCCAGGTGGGCTGGGGGCACTGCGTCCAGCCCAGGACGGGTGGGAGCCCACACGCTGGGGCAGCCCTTCCCAGGATGGCCGCAGTGTGGCCACAGTCCAGGGAGGGGAGCGTGGTCCTGGTCCCACCAGCCGCTGTCTGCCCAGCACCCTGCTCAGGCCCCAACGGTACTGTCCCCTAGCAGGGAGCTGGGGAAGGGCTCCCTGACATTCTCAGGCAGAGTGGAGTAACAGAAGGCTCTTCACAAGCAGGGGCTGCAGGAGGGGCCCTGCTCACAGCTGGCCTTCAGAGCCCCCTTCTCATCCCCCACACATTCCTGCCTTTCAGCCCCATCCGGAGACCCGGCCCAGCTGCTGCCCGCTCTGAATGGGTCATTGTGTCTGCCCCAAGTGCCCCCCAGCCCCTGCCCTTCTCCCTGAGCCCCAGCTTTCCGGGGGGCAGCCTAAAGAAGCCCATCTCTGTCCCCATTTTCCAAAAATAGCTGCCCCTACTGCAGAGCCCCGGAAGCTTCCAGGGGCCCCAACCCTCTCCAGAGCTCCAGGAGGTTGGCCAGGCCCCTGCCGCCCCCTCCTCCTCTCAGATGGCCTGGCACCCATCCCCCACCGTGGGAGGCAGCCCTGTCTTGGGGGTGCGGACACACACACGTGCCAATGCGCACGCACTTCCAGTGTGGGATTCTGCACCCACACTCCCCACTGAGGGGGCACGTGCACCTGGCAGTGACCTTGGCAGCAAGGGGTCTGCAGCTTGCATGGTCACTTGTCACGGGACCCAGCTCAGGGGACTCAGCTTAGGGGCCCCAGCCCAGGGACTCAGCCCAGGGGACTCAGCTCAGGGGACTCAGCCTGGGACTCAGCCCAGGGGCCCCAGCCCAGGGGACTCAGCCCAGAGGACTCATCCCAGGGGCCCCAGCCCAGGAGACTCAGCCCAGGGGACTCACCTCAGGGGTCCCAGCTCAGGGGACTCAGCTTAGGGGCCCCAGCCCAGGGACTCAGCCCAGGGGACTCAGGGGACTCAGTTCAGGAGTCCCAGTTCAGGGGTCCCAGCTCAGGGGACTCAGCCCAGGGGTCCCAGCTCAGGGGACTCAGCTCAGGGCCCTGGGCACGTTGCCAGCTGCTGTGTTGTCTCGGGGCCTCTGGTCACCAGTGGGGCAGTTGCTGCCCTCCCAGACGTGGGCCTGAGCCTCTTCCTGGTGGGAGGAACCCCGGAGAGCCAGGCCGGGACCTCCCTGGTGGGACTGGACTCCCTCTCACCGAAGCTACCGGGGTGGCCCTGTCACTGCGGACCCCGGGGAGGGCCGGGTTCTCCTCAGTGCCCGGGCGAGGCCTCGTCTCCCCAAATGGGGCTGAGTCCCACTCAGACACCCTGGATGGGCTGTGTCTCTTTGGGGTCCGCCGGGATAGGACTGTGTCCCTCCCAAACACAGGGCAGGATGCCTGTAACCCCCACAGCTGGTTAGGTGACTGGGGAGGCCGGGTCAGTCCTGACCACTATGTCCTGTTTCTCTAGCAAGTGGCCACCTGAGGCTGACTGTGCTGCCTGAGGACCGGCTGCAGATGAAGTGGAGAGAGTCGGAGGGGAGCGGCCTCGGCTACCTGGTGCAGGTGCAGCCCATGGCAGGTGAGGACCTGCGCCCTCCCAGGCCCCCTTCCCCGTTAGCACATGCTGAGGACAGTCAGTGTGGCGGCCGCAGCCACCACTCAGGCCCACGGTGTCCCTCCCACCAGCCCCTTCGTGTGAGCAGCTTTCTGGCCTCAGTGTCTGCTGTCCCCACATTCCTTTCCAAGCCCTGTCGTGTACAACACAGAACAGGGAATGCGGCTCGTCTGTCCCTGGCACGCAGCCCCTGCAGAACGCATTCAGTACGTACTTTTCGTTTTTTTAATTTTTAATTTTAATTTTTAATTTTTTTAAAGACAGGGTTTTGCTCTGTTACCCAGACTAGAGTGCAGTGGTGCGATCACAGCTCCCTGGAGCCTCAATTTCCCAAGCTTAGATCCTCCCACCTCAGCCTCCCGAGCAGCTGGGAGTACAGATGCACGCCGCCACTCCTGGCTGATTTTTGTATTTTTTGTAGAGAAGGGATTTCACCATGTTACCCAGGCTAGTCTTGAACTGGGCTCAGGTGATCTGCCTGCCTCAGCCTCCCACAGTGCTGGGATTACAGGCATGAACCACCACGCGCGGTCTGTATTTTTTAAATAAATGACTCCCTCCTCAGAACGAGTCTCAGCAACTCAGGGGCATTCAGAACAACCTGGACTCTGCACAGCGAACCCCAGAAGCACCTGCTCCCCACGTGTTAATCCTTGTTTACAGGAGCAGGGCCTTGAGGACACCTCTTCAGGGAATCCTGTTCCTAGAGCACGGAACAGCGCTAACCTGACGATGGGTGCTAATTTTAAAGCTTTTCAAAACTCAGGTGGAAAAGCACACAGGCGTAAATGCTAACTGTATGAGTCAGCACAGTGGGGTGGCCAACACAAACCCCTCCTGGGGTGAAAAAAGACCGTCCCGGGTGCCCTTCCCAACGTCCACCCTCCCCTGCTGCCCGGACGGCCGCCTCCGACAGCACAGACTAGTTTGCCTGTTTCAGAACATTCTCTAAGTGGAATCACCCTGTGGTGACTCCCTCATGTCCGTGTCTTTGGTGGGCATTTTGTGAGGTTCACCCTGTGGTGTGTAACAGCCATCCGTTTTCTTTGCTGTATAGTATTCCCCTGTGTGGTTTGTTCTGCTGTTGATGGACGTGTGGCTTGTGTCCAGGTTGGCTGTTGTGCAGACGCCGTGTGAGGGATCGTGGTCCATGCGCATGTTGTTCTGGGTGTAAACCCAGGAGTGGAAGCACCACAGCGTGTGCATGTTTTCAGCATCAGTAGAAAACGTTGAACTATTTTCCAAAGGGGTCGTGCCAGTGTATACTCCCATCAGCAGCGTATGATCGCTTCCGTTACGTGACGCCCTTGGCAACCAATGCTTGGCAGCGTAGGACTTGAGCTACTCTGGTGGGTGGGCAGTGGTATCCTGTGTTTCTTTATTGAGCTGTAATTTACATGCAGAAATATTCACCCTTTTGAGAATAGCTCTGTGAGTTTTATTTATCACATGAATTCAATCCTGTAACCACTGTCACAATTGATGTAGAGAACAGTTCTCTTACCCCAAGGTCAGCCCTTAGCCCAGTACCCCATAACCACTGAGCTGTTTTCTATCGTTCTGCCTTTTCCAGATAGATGTACCTTATCAGGTTAAGTCCTGTTCTGTTCCTACTTAGGCTGAGTTTTTACCAAGAGAATGCATTAGTTTTTCCAAATTCTTTCTTCAGTGAGGTGGTCATTTTCTCCTTTATTTGATTCATGTAGTAAATTACAGTGGTTGATTTTTTCAATATTAAACATAATATATATATTTCTCTCTCAAGAGACAGGGTCTCACTCTGTTCCCCAGTCTGGAGTGCACAGTGCAGTGGCACAGTCATAGCTCACTGCAACCTCCATCTTCTAGCCTCAAACCATCTTCTCACCTTGGTCTGCTAAAGTGCTGGGATTATAGGGGTGAACCACTGTACCTGGCCTATCCCCTTTTATATATTATTAAGTCAATTTGCAAATATTTCATCTAAGATTTTTTTTTTTTTTTCTGAGATGGAATCTCACTCTGTTGCCCAGGTTGGAGTGCAGTGGTATGATCTCAGCTCACTGCAAGCTCTGCCTCCCGGGTTCAAGCGATTCTCCTACCTCAGCCTCCCAAGGGGCTGGGATTACAGGTGCCCACCACTACGCCCGGCTAATTTTTGTATTTTTAGTAGAGACGGGTTTCACCATGTTGGCCAGGCTGGTCTCGAACTCCTGACCTCATGATCCGCCCACCTTGGCCTCCCAAAGTGCTGAGATTACAGGTGTGAGCCACCGCACCCAGCCCATCTAAGATTTTTATACATTGGCCAAAAACTACCCTTTCTTATAAAGTCCTTTTGGTATCAGCTTTATACCTCATAAGATGAGGTGGGGAAGGATTCCTCTTATTCAGTTTTCTGGAAGAGTTTGTGTAATGGTGGTATTTTTTTCCTTAAATGTTTACTAGAATTCGCTGGTGCTGACTTCTGGGCTTGTGTTGTGTGTGTGTGTGTGTGTGTGTGTGTGTGTGTGTGAACATTTTACATAATTGATTCATTCTCCTCAACAGACATAGGACTACTCAGATTTCCTAACTTTTGTGGTCAGTTTTGGTAAGTTAGTTTTTTAAATAGGAATTTGTATTTTATATAAATTTCCTGATTAATTGGGATAACATTTTTCATATTATCCCATAGATTCTGTAGTTATAGCACCCTTTTCATTCCTGTTATTGATTGAATCTTCTCTCTGCTTTCAAAAGGCAATCTGGAAGTTTATCTACTTCATTAGTCTTTTAATAAAACACATTTTGTCTTGGTTGGTCTGTCGTTGATTTCGTTTGTTTTTTATTTTGTTTCTATTTCTTTTACTCTCTTTGTGTTTACTTTTCTGTTCAAACTTAAGATGGATACTTAAATTCATTGATTTTCTGCCCTTCTTTTATAAGATATGAAGTTAAAACTATTGAATTTTCTTCTAAGTATTAGCTATAGCTGCATTTTGATATGTAGAATTTTCATTGTCATTGAGGTAAAAATACCTAATTTTTGTCATGATATTTTTATTTGACCCATAGGCTACTTAGAAGTGTGTTTCTTAGTTTTAAAACATGGGGGGATTTTCTTACTTTTTGTTTTGGATTTCTTCCTTAATTGCATTGTGGCCAGACATGTACAATATGCTTTCAGTCATTTGGAAAGTACCTTGCTGGCCGGGCGCGGTGGCTCATGCGTATAATCCCAGCTCTTTGGGAGGCCAAGGTCGGCAGATCACTTGATGACAGGAGTTTGAGACCAGCCTGGCCAACATGGCAAAACCCTGTCTCTACTTAGCTGGGTGTGGTGGCACACACCTTTCATCCCAGCTGCTTGGAAGACTGAGGAAGGACAATCGCTTGAACCCGGGAGGTGGAGGTTGCAGTGAGCCGAGATGGTGCCACTGCGCTCCAGTCTGGGCAACAGAGTGAGACTCCGTCTCAAAAAAAAAAACAAAAAACCTCGCTTTATGGTCCCGCATATGATCCATTTTGGTCAGTGTTCCATGTGACTTTGAAAATATATGCAATTTGCAGTTGTTGGGTAGAGTTTTCTAATGTTCCAGTTAAGTTATTTACCTTATTTTTCAGATTTTTTATATAGTTACTATGTTTGGGGTCTACTTATCCTGCTACTGAAAAAAGTATTTCAAATCTCCGTTGTGATTGTAGATACATCTTTCTTGTGGTTGTCTTACTGTTCTTTGCTTTGTGCATGAGGCTCGGTTATTGGGTGCATACAAACTTAGAATGATTGTATCTTCCTGGTAGGTTGACCCTTTTTCATTTTGAAGTGCTCTTCATTATCTCTCTAGTGCTGTTTTGTTTTCCTTGTATCTTGTTGTGATGGTCCTATTGCTTCACCAGGTAGTGTTTGCATTAAATCTCTTTTCTTCTTCTCTTACTGTTAACTGTTCTCCAGCCTTTCATTTTAGATGTGTCTTCTAAGCAGCATATAATTGGGTATGGTTTTCATCCAGTGTGACAGTCTTTGTCTTTTTATTGAAAGATTTTTTCCATTTATATTTAATGAAATTAATGATCTGTTTATATCTATAATCTTCCCTTTTTATTATACTTGTTATAAATTTTTATTCTCTGCTTTCTTGTCTTTGTTTGAACTGATTTTTTAATGGAAAAATTTAAACACATGCAAAAGAAGAGACCATAGTATAATGAAGCCTCATGTTTTCATGATGTAGCTTTCAGCAATTACCAGTGTGTGGCCAATATTGTTTTATGTCCCTCTCCTCAACCCCCCTCTACATTCTATATTATGTTAAAGCAAATCTCAGACATCATATAATCCTGTCTATAAATATTTCAGTATGTTTCTCTAAAAGAAAAGACTCAAACATAACCCCAATACCATGAACAGCTCCCAAATTTAAAATGTTTCGGTACTATCATTGAATATTTAGTTGTGTTGAGTTTTCTAACTTGATGCATGTCATTCATTTATTTATTTATTTATTTATTTATTTATTTATTTATTGAGATGGAGTCTCGCTCTGTCACCCAGGCTGGAGTGCAGTGGCATGATCTTGGCTCACTGCAGCCTCCTGCTTCTAGGTTCAAGCGATTCTCCTGCCTCAGCCTCCCAAGTAGTTGGGATTACAGGCTCATGACACCATGCCCAGCTAATTTTTGTATTTTTAGTAGAGACAGGGTTTCTCCATGTTGGCCAAGCTGGTCTCGAACTCCTGACCTCAGGTGATCCACCCGCCTCGGCCTCCCAAAGTGCTGGGATTCCAGGTGTGAGCCAGGATGCCTGGCCTTGACACGTGTCTTTTACAATTGATTTGTCTGAAATGGGATGTGAACAGAGTCTGCACAATATGTTTAGTTCCTGTGTCTTAAGCAATTTTTAATCTAAAACAGTTTTCTCCTCTCCGTTTTCCTTGACATTTATTTGTAGAAGAAGAAACAAGATTGTTCTGTCGAACTTCCCACTTTCTTCTCTTGCCAGTGGCATCTTTGGGGAGCCATTTAGCTCGCTCCTTCCTCTCTCCACCCTGTCTCCACAGACTGGCAGTTAGATCCTGGAAGTTTGGTAGAGGCAAGTTTGATTGTGTTTGTTAAGAATTCTTTATCAGTGGTGCCGTGTAATTCCTACGTCACCACAGCTGGCAGTACATAATGTCTGGTGTGTCTTGTGAAGTTAAGATTGTTCAGTAGGTATGGGGTGATTCTTCCCTGATACCATCAACTTGGTGATTCTATGTTTGTTTACCCTTCAAGTAACCACGCTAGTGACCACAGCATGCAGTCTTGATTTATCAGCATATGATATACATGATGGTTGTCTCGGCTGTCCCCAGGCAATGCTAGCACCTTAGAACATCACAATAACATTTATCCCGTTTTCAAGCACCTTATTTATCGATTTTTGAGATGGGGTCTCACTATACTGCCCAGGCTGGATTCAAACTCCTGGGCTCAAGTGATCCTCCCACCTCAGCCTCCCAAGTAGATGGGATTATGGGCATGCCCCACTTTTAAAATTCTATATTTATATTAAATGACATAAAACTTTTTCATGGTTGTCATTGCTTGTTAATCACATGTTTGTGCAGGAAGCTTGGGAATATGACAGACCTGGTCTGCTATGCCACTTCTCCTGTGGAGTAACTGTGTGATTGATCCTTTGTGCCTCAGTTTTCCTGTCTATAAGATGGGTGTAATGGGGCTGTGAAGATTATGAGGCTTGATACCTGTGAAATGCTTAGGATACTGCCAGGCACACAGTGAAAACTCAGTAACAATTAGCTATTGATGGTAATGACAACACCCCTGCCTCCTATTTGCTCAGCCGAGAGCAGAGGGTCCTCCCTGGCTGGTCACTCCCTGGCACAGCGCTGGGTAGGGCTGTGGGGAACTGCTCACTGCGCAGGGAGGATGGTGTCAATTTTCTTTCCAGGTGTGCAGGCGCACACTCCTCCCTCCTCTTCTCCCCCCAGGTGTGCAGGTGCGGGTTCCTCCCTCCTCTTCTCCCCCCAGGTGTGCAGGTGCGGGTTCCTCCCTCCTCTTCTCCCCCCAGGTGTGTAGGTGCGGGTTCCTCCCTCCTCTTCTCCCCCCAGGTGTGCAGGTGTGAGTTCCTCCCTCCTCTTCCCCCTCCAGGTGTGCAGGTGCGGGTTCCTCCCTCCTCTTCTCCCCCCAGGTGTGTAGGTGCGGGTTCCTCCCTCCTCTTCTCCTCCCAGGTGTGCAGGTGTGAGTTCCTCCCTCCTCTTCCCCCTCCAGGTGTGCAGGTGCGGGTTCCTCCCTCCTCTTCTCCCCCCAGGTGTGCAGGTGCCGGTTCCCCCCTCCTCTTCTCCCCCCAGGTGTGCAGGTGCGGGTTCCTCCCTCCTTTGCTCCCTCGTCTTAGCATTTGAGACCCAGAGAATCGCCCAGTGCCCAAAGTGCCTCTTTAGGTCTGACTGCCACCTCCTGAGTGCTATTTCAAGGCCATTTCTTCTTGCTCTTTCCTCTGAGAATATGACAGTGTCCCCTTTGGAATCATTTGTTTGCTTTTCACACTTGAAATCCAGCCCTAACTTTAGAATCATGGGGTCACACAGCAGAAAATACTGCGGCTGGTCAGTCTGCACGGCCCATAGGGTGGGAGACTGTGGGAGTGGGCAGGGCCCTGGCCCCAGACTCTTCCTTCTTGGACCCGGCCCCTCGGGTCGTCATCCCCGCCCTGGGCAGCCCCATCTTCATACTGGACAGTGTCTCTGAGGATTGATGGGTTCTCACCTCACCATGTGACAGATTCCTCTAGGGGGTTTAGTAAGTGACATCTTTTTTTTACTGCCCCAAGACCCATTCCCTCTCACACTGTTACCCAGGAGCCCATGTCCCTTGCATCAGACCCTCTCCCTTTCTCTCTCCCTGGCCTCAAGGGGAGGAGCTGGGGTGGGGAGGAGGAGCCAAGAGGGTTTCACTTCCCACCATGACAGATGCACACATGTGTGCCCACCTTAGCCTCTAAAGCTCTCCCCGCCCCCACCCAGGGGACTCGGAACAGGAGGTGATACTGACCACCAAGACCCCTAAGGCCACAGTGGGGGGCCTGAGCCCCTCCAAGGGCTACACCTTGCAGATCTTCGAGCTCACTGGCTCTGGGCGCTTCCTGCTGGCTCGGAGGGAGTTTGTGAGTAAGTCCACGGCGTACTGCCAGCTGGGTACCCCCTCCTCCAGGCCGGGTCCCACCGTCCTCTGGGCCAGGGTCCCACTGTCCTCCAGCTGAGTCCCACCGTCCTCCAGCTCAGGTCCCACTGTCCTGGGTACTGCCAGCTGGGTACCCCCTCCTCCAGGCTGGGTCCCACCGTCCTCTGGGCCAGGGTTCCGCTGTCCTCCAGCTGAGTTCCACCCTCCTCCAGGCCGGGGTCCCACCCTCCTCCAGGCTGCGTTCCAGCCCCAGGGGTGGGTGTGTGTGAAGCAGCTCTTCCCCTGTGGGCTGGGCTAGGGCCAGGTTCGAGTCCTGACTCACCAGCGAGGCTGCCTTGCCCCTGACGTCTTCGCATGCCAGCCAGGGTCCTGGGCCCTCAGCACCTGCAGACGCGCCTTTGAGGGAGTGTGTGCGCAGCTGCGCCAGCGGGCCAGGCCCTCCGCTCCCACCTGATTGAGGGAGGGTGTGTGCAGCTGCCCCAGCCGGCCAGGCCCTCCGCTCCCACCTGATTGAGGGAGGGTGTGTGTAGCTGCGCCAGCCGGCCAGGCCCTCCACTCCCACCCGATGGCCCTCGGTGTCTCCCTGCAGTTGAGGATCTGAAGAGTAGCTCCTTGGACAGGAACAACCAGAGACCTCTCAGCAATGGAGCCCCGGAGCCCACCCCCTCCCTCATTGGGAGCCCAGACCCTGAGCAGGCTTCCGAGCCCCGAGTTGCCTTTGTGCCAAGCCAGGATCCGCCCATTCCTGGTGGGTCAGAGTGGAGGGAGAGTAAGTCTCTGGGGAGGGAGTGACCTTTGGTTTCCCACCGTGAGGCCAGGAAGTTCTTCCTCGTGTCTGACCACACACTCTCTAGCTTTAACTTAAGGCTGTCACATTCCCAGGTTCACTCAAGCCAGGCCACTGGGAGCAGGTGGTCCCACTACCTCTGACCCCTTTGGGAACCTCCAGCCTGGGTCTAGGGGGTGGTGAGAGGGTTGGGTCATGCTCCACCAAGAGTGGGATCAGGAGCAGAGCTGGTCCGGGGACCCCGGAGGGAGGGCCCTGCCCAGCCAGCCGCAGGTGTGGAGAGGCAGAATCACACCAGGACAGAAGAGAAGCCGGGTAAGGGGTAGGCACAGACAGGGGAGGTGCCCTGTGTCTGCCCACAAGGCCTCTGCAGGTGGGGCCAGGCTTTGTCTCCTCCATCAGATTGGGGTCCTCAGAGGCAGGATTTTACCTCCCCTGTCAGACTTGGAACTGAAGGAAGTGTCCACCTCCTCAGACTTGGACACATCCCTCCAGAGGTCCTCGGGTCTGGTGCTGTCCTCCCCTCAGAGCAGCTGGGCCTCTTCGGTCGCCCCACGGGGGGCTCCACCGTGATGGCTGCTGGCCTCGTTCAGGCATCTCCCCAGGGATCTGGTGCTGGCTCTGCGGCCTGCCCCACCAGGCACTGTCCCTGCCCCACCAGGCACTGTCCCTGCCCCACCAGGCACTGTCCCTGCAAGACTCTGGGGAGCGCTAGGCTGGGGTTAGGGGTTTTGTCTCCACAGCACCGCCAGGGCAGTGCTCACGGTGGCTCTGCTGGAGCCGTCTGCGGTGCCCACCCTCCCCTCCTCATCTGGTTTGCACCCAGTGGGCTTCTGGGCCTGGTGTCTGGGTGGGCAGCGAAGGCTGGCTCCCGTGCAGATAGCCACGTGCAGCCGTGGGGGACAGAGGTGCCCGAGCACCAGGCTGCCTCACGTTAGTGGTGGCTGGACTGTGCAACCGTGCCGGCGTGGGGCCGTCTAGTCTGGTGAGGCCTGAGGGTCTTGGAGTCCTTTCCCTGATACCTGGCCCAGCCTGCCTCACTCTTGTGGCTGAAGCCCCAGGGAAGGTGATCTGGGGGCTGGGGCCAGGCCGGGAGCAGTTTGGGGGTCTTGGACCAGGGATGGGCTTCACCTAACACCTCACCCGCTCCCACCACCCCAGCCAGCCCCCAGTTCCGCTGCCTACCCCCTGTGCCTGCTGACATGGTCTTCCTGGTGGACGGGTCCTGGAGCATCGGCCACAGTCACTTTCAGCAGGTCAAGGACTTCCTGGCCAGCGTCATTGCACCCTTTGAAATCGGGCCAGATAAGGTCCAAGTAGGTGGGTGCTGGCCCGGCCTGCCTCTTGCCCCACCTGGGCGTGGTCCCCACAGCTCTGACTGCCAGCAGAGGCTGTGACCTGTGGGGGTCCCCGCACCAGCCAGGGCTCCCACCTTGTGGGGTGGGACACCTTCTCCACTGGGGTGTTCTGGGGACGCTCTGTGTGGAGGCCCTGGCTCTGCAAGCGTACTCTCTCTGGGGACTGGCTGCTGTGGCCAGGGACACCGCAGAGGCACGTGCAGCTCTCAGGTGTGCCTTGCGCCAGCTCCCTGGGCCCCTCAGCATTGGAAACTCAGCCCGTGGCCACGCCCCTGCTCCCCAGGCCTGACTCAGTACAGCGGCGATGCCCAGACTGAGTGGAACCTGAACTCCTTTGGCACCAAGGAGCAGGTGCTGGCAGCTGTGCGCCGCCTCCGCTACAAGGGGGGGAACACGTTCACAGGTACGGCCCACGCCGCCCTCCCTCCATCCTGAGGGCGGGCCTCCTTCTGCCGCCCTCCCAGACCCTGGGAGCGTGTGTGTAAATTGAGCTCTCAGTGGTGTGGACCTGAGCCCTGTTCACACCTTCATAAAGGGCAGAGTCACCCCCTTGTTTACCCTGGACGAAAACGAGGGCCCATGTCCAGCATGTGGCTCCTCTGTTCTGTGGCAGCTCTGGCTGGGGCCACACCCAGCCCAGTCGGGGTGCTCACCTTGCAGGTAGGGCCTGGCTGGGGAACTTGGGGTGCCACTTGGGGCCCCTCCACAGGCAGACCCTCCCTGCTCCCTCAGGCTGCCACCTGGCCTCCTGGCACCCTGCAAGGGAAGGAGAGGAGCATCTCTGCTGTCTGGTTGCTGCCAGCCGAGTACCAGGAGGGGATGCTGGCAGCTGCCTGTCACTTTATTCTTGCTGCTCCCAAGGCCTCGCCCTGACCCATGTGCTGGGGCAGAACCTGCAGCCGGCGGCCGGCCTCCGTCCAGAGGCGGCCAAGGTGGTGATTCTGGTGACGGACGGCAAGTCCCAGGACGATGTGCACACTGCTGCTCGTGTCCTCAAGGACCTGGGCGTGAACATCTTTGCTGTGGGTGAGCACTGTGCAGCCCCCCGGCCCTGGGCTGGAGCCTCACTGTCAGGTGGGCTTTGGTTGCAGCTGGGAGCTTACATCGGGCACCTGGTCCCTGAGCCCCAGCTTCCACGTTCATGACATGGAGCTGCACGCAGAGCTGGGCACTACCTGGCACTCAGAGGCGACTGCTCCTTTTCAGTCGCCTGCTGTTTGGTGCCTTCCATAGAATCCCCCCCAACCCCACCCCTGTGGCGTGAACCTCCCTGGTGCAATATTCACTGAGCAGCTCCAGCTGCCCCCTCTGGCCACCATCCCTGTGCCTGGCGACTCCCGCCTGCTGTCCCCTGGCGAGGAGCTTCCTGGCACCCTCCAGGGCCTGGGATTCACAGGTGAATCAACTCTGTCCTGTGGGGAGGAAACCCCAGATTTTGAGGCAGGAGTCCTGGGAGCAGAGACCCTTCCTTGATGCCCCCAACCCCTCAGAAGCTCCTGGCCCGGCACGTGGGTGGCAGGTGGGCCGAGTACAGCCTATAGGCCTCTTCGCTCCTGACCCACTCTCCACGGAGACCTCCACTGCAGGCGGCCCTCTCGGGTGACCCCAGTGCAGGCCGACCTCACCTCCCTCCTCTTGAGCAGGTGTGAAGAACGCCGATGAGGCTGAGCTGAGGCTCTTGGCGTCCCCGCCGCGGGACATCACCGTCCACAACGTGCTGGACTTCCCGCAGCTTGGCGCACTGGCTGGCCTGCTCAGCCGCCTCATCTGCCAGAGGCTGCAGGATGGGGGCCCGCGGCGGGGCCCAGGTGCGGGGCAGGGTCACCCACACAGGCTGCAGCCCCACCTGGCTGCTTTGGGCAGGGGAGGGGGGGACGCTGTGGCTCCCGGGTGGTACCTGAGGCCGGTTCCTGTGGCTCTGAGGGGGTCTGCAGCCCCCGCTTACATCTGTCCACAGAGGGGCTGGGGAGCGGCTCTCCTGTCCCTCCTGCAAGTGGCCGCCACGGGGAGCGTGGACACACGGGCCCGTGTCCCTCCTGTGAGTGGCCACCAGGGGGAGCGTGGACACACGGGTTCGTGTCTCTCCTGCGAGTGGCCACCAGGGGGAGCATGGACACACGGCTCGTGTCCCCTTGAGTGGCCACCAGGGGGAGCGTGGACACACGGGCTCCTGTCCCTCCTGCGAGTGGCCACTGGGGGAGCGTGGACACATGGGCTCCTGTCCCTCCTGCGAGTGGCCACCAGGGGGAGTGTGGACACACGGCTTGTGTCCCCTTGAGTGGCCACCAGGGGGAGTGTGGACACACGGGCTCGTGTCCCTCCTGCGAGTGGCCACCAGGGGGAGCGTGGACACACGGCTTGTGTCCCCTTGAGTGGCCACCAGGGGGAGTGTGGACACATGGGCTCGTGTCCCTCCTGCGAGTGGCCACCAGGGGGAGCGTGGACACACGGGCTCGTGTCCCTCCTGCGAGTGGCCACCAGGGGGAGCGTGGACACACGGCTCGAGCGCTGACCACCTGTCCCCCACCCCCACCCCTCCAGCAGCAGCGGCTCCAGCCCTGGACACCCTCCCCGCCCCCACCGGCCTGGTCTTGAGCCAGGTGACCTCCTCCAGCATCCACGTGTCCTGGACTCCAGCCCCCCGGCTCCCTCTCAAGTATCTGATTGTTTGGCGAGCCTCCAGAGGTGGCACCCCCAGGGAGGTGAGGGGCCGACATACAGGGCTCCCCGAGCCGGTCTGCAACCGTTGTGGGTGTGATGAGCCAAAGGGAGGGTGGGAATAAAGGCCCACAAATGACTGGATCCAGGCTGAGAAGGGGGTGGTGAGGGGCTGGCAGCCCGGGGACTCACCATGGAGCTGCGTCTGGGAGGTGGCCTGGGGTGAGTGCGTTTTGGTGGCCGAGGAGGGCAGAGCAGGGGACGTTCCGAGGGTGCTGGGGATAGGTTCAGACTCAGAGCGCCTTCTCCCTTTGAAGGATCGATCAATTGATCGATTGTGGTGGGCCTGCCCACACCGTGCCTGGCACCGCTCTGTTGTAGGTACCAGGAGCCCAGGCCTGTGGGAAGTGGGGTACCCGGCGGGCCCCAGCTGAGTTCACACGCCAGATGACAAGCTCCCGGTCCCCCAGCACCCCCCTTCCTGGCTCCGTCCTTGCCCACTCTGTTCCAGGTGGTGGTGGAGGGGCCTGCCGCCTCCACAGAGCTGCACAACCTGACCTCCCGCACAGAGTACCTGGTCTCCGTGTTCCCCATCTACGAGGGCGGGGTTGGCGAGGGCCTGCGGGGCCTGGTGACCACAGGTGGGTGGGGCAGAGGCAGTGGCCAGGTTCTGGGTGGGAGGCCCCACTTGTGACTGTCCCTCAGAGCCTGGCACCCCAGGGTAGCATAGCCCTGGATCTTAACCACCCACAGTTGGCACCATGCCCAGCTTGCTGTGTGACCGAGGCCGAGCCACTAGGCCCCTCTGACCTTTGGTGTTCTCTTCTGAACACCAGCTGTACCATTGGTATCATCACCCCAACCATAATCACAACCCATTATACTCCCTGTCCACAGTGTTCATGGAGTTCCCCACTGCTTGGCCCCCAGCACGTGGCTTAGCTTGCTGGGTTCTTGGACTGCCAGGGACTGCCATGAGCTCATCTGTAATAGCTTTGCTGAGATGAAATTTACACATCATATAATCTGACCATTTAAAGTGTACAACTTCAGTGGCTTTGGTATATTCAGAGCTGTCACCCATGGCTACAGTCCATGTTAGATCATTTTCAACCCCCCCCAGAGGAACTCCTGCACCCCTAAACACCCGCCCCCCGCCCCCGCCCCAGCCACCTTCTGTCTCTGGATGTGCCTGTCCCAGATGTTTCCTGCAGGTGGAGTCACACCATGTGGCCTTTTGTGTCTGGCTGTTTCCCAAGGCCCCTTTCACCCTGGAGGCCACATTCCTCCCATGACCTCAAGGCAGATGGCCTTAAACAAAACCTGTGGGGTGGCCTCGTGTCCCCAGAGCTGGAGCCACAAACCTGGGCCCAAGGTGAAGCCTGGGAAGTGCCACTTCGAATCCTGTGCATCTGCCGGGCAGTGGCCGCGCCCACTCACTCTGGTGTGAGGGTCCTCCCATGCGTGGGTGTGATCTCTGTGTGGGCTTCCTTCCTAAAGTGTCCCCCCATGGCCCCCCAGCACCTCTGTCTCCGCCCCGGGCGCTGACCCTGGCCACAGTGACTCCCAGAACCGTCCACCTCACCTGGCAGCCCTCGGCCGGGGCCACCCACTACCTGGTGCGATGCTCACCTGCTTCCTCCAAGGGTGAGGAGGAGGAGCGAGAGGTGAGCTGGGCCGGGGGGTGACGGGAGGCAGAGGAGTGGGGCAGAGCGAGTGGGGGCTGACCTGGGACGTCATGTCTCTGCAGGTGCAGGTGAGGCGGCCCGAGGTGCTGCTGGATGGCCTGGAACCAGGCAGGGACTATGAGATCTCGGTGCAGAGCCTGCGAGGCCCTGAGAGCAGCGAGGCCCGGGGCATCCGTGCCAGGACCCGTGAGTGTCCCAACCCTGGCTGCCCTGCAGGACAAGTGCCCCTTCTTGTTTCTCAGTCTTCCATGGCATGGGGGACCTCAGGCCCCCTTGGTCCCAGCCCCTGCCCTACCCCGTCCCTGCTGTGGAGGCCGCGTGCTGGCCTTGAGGCTCTGCTGTGCTCTGCAGCCGTCCTGGCCCCCCCGAGACACCTGGGCTTCTCAGACGTGAGCCACGACACAGCGCGAGTGATCTGGGAGGGCGCCCCAAGGCCTGTGCGCCTGGTCAGGGTCACCTATGTCTCCAGCGAGGGTGGACACTCGGGGCAGGTGAGAGCAGAGCCTGCCAGGGGCCCGAGTGTCTCGAGGGACCACAGGGCCCTAAGGCAGGCCTGGGGTAGAGCCAACCATCAAATAACACACATAAAACCACGGCCGCCACGAGGCGCACTGGGGGCACCTGGTGTGGGGGCACCTGGTGTGGGGGCACCTGGTGTGGAGGCACCTGGTGTGGGGGCAGATGCGGGTGTAGGGGCTGTGGGGGACCAGGCTGGGGAGGCCCCACCCCAGCCGTCCTGCAGTTCTGTTGCCCTCCCATCTCTCAGGACAAGCCCATTTTCCCAATTTTTGGGGGGTCATGGGGTAGTCCTGGCTGCAGGTGCTGGACCTGGGTCTCTGCCTCAGCAAGGGCTCCAGGCACCGGCTGGGCCTGCCATGTCGGCCTCCCACCTATTGCAGACAGAGGCTCCTGGGAATGCCACCTCGGCCATGCTGGGGCCCCTCTCTTCCTCCACCACCTACACTGTCCGTGTCACCTGCCTCTACCCTGGGGGTGGCTCCTCTACGCTGACCGGCCAGGTCACCACCAGTGAGTGGGGAGAGGTTGGGACTGGGGGCCCGGCGAGGGTTCTGCGTCTTGCCCCACTAGACAGTTCACATCAAGTGTTGTGGGTGCCTGCCCTGGGCTGGTGCTGAGCCAGGTGGGGATGGGCACCCGACGGGTGTGATGGATGGGGGTATAGGGTGCTCCTGGGTGTGGCTGCCCCTCCTCTGAGGCGCCCAGACTCAGGGGCTGCACCCCCAGCCTGTGTCTCCACTTCCTTCAGAGAAAGTTCCCAGCCCAAGCCAGCTGTCCGTGACGGAGCTGCCAGGGGACACAGTCCAGCTGGCATGGGTGGCCGCAGCCCCATCTGGGGTGCTTGTCTACCAGATCAAGTGGACGCCCCTGGGAGAGGGGAAGGCTCACGAGGTGGGCAGGGATGGACTTGTCCTTCAGAGGGGCCCCCCCTGGGCTCCCAGTCCTGCGGCCCAAGTCCAGGGCTCAGAGCCCTGTGTGCACCCACCCTGTCTCCCAGGGATGCCTCACTGTCCATGGCCTGTGCACCAGACCCCCCAGTCTGAGGACTCCACTGTACCTGGTGACCCCTGGGGCTCTCCTCTCCCTAGATCTCTGTCCCAGGGAACCTCGGCACGGCCGTCCTGCCTGGCCTAGGGAGGCACACGGAGTATGACGTCACCATCCTGGCCTACTACAGGGACGGCGCCCGCAGTGACCCTGTGTCCCTCCGCTATACCCCCTGTAGGTGTCCCTCCACTTTCCCTCTGCTGAGTGTTGGGCAGGGATGGCCCAGCCCAAGGGGACCCCTGACTCACCCGCTCCACAGGCCCAGGACCCTAGACTCCCAGAACTGCTGGCAGGCCGGCTCCCAGAGCCCCTGACCACTGGCCTGGTCACTGGAGTCTGCATGGGGATAGGTGTTCCCCCAGTGGCCGAGTGCACAAACCACATCATGTAGTGTCTTGCAGGGTGGGTGCATAAACCACGTAGTGTCTCACAGGGCAGCCCAGGCAGCAGCCCAGGTTGGGGGTATGGTGGGGGCCCTGGCAGGTGGCATGATGTGGGTGTGGCAGGGGCCCGGCATGGGCTGTGGCAAGGACGCAGTGTCAGCTGTGGCGGGGTGCAGTGTGGGCTGTGGCAGGGGCGTGTTGTGGCGTGGCAGCGCGGTGTGGGCCGTGGCAGGTGGTGCAGTGTGGGCCGTGGCAGGTGGCGTTATGTGGGCCGTGGCAGGGGCACAAGTGTGGATGTGCCGGGGTGTGGTATGGGCTGTGGCAGGGGCGTGGTGTGGGTGTGCCAGGGGTGTGGTGTGGGCTGTGGCAGGGGTGTGGCTTGGTGTGGTGGGGGCATTACACAGAGCAGGGTAGGGGCTGGGCGGCTGGTCCTCTGGCCACTGGGTGCCTCCTTTCTGGAGGGGCCTGAGCCCCAAACAGCCCGTGCTCTCTGCCAGCCACGGTGAACAGGAGCCCCCCCTCCAACCTGGCCCTGGCCTCGGAGACCCCCGACAGCCTGCAGGTCAGCTGGACACCCCCACGTGGCCGCGTGCTCCACTACCGGCTCACCTACACGCCCGCCTCTGGCTCAGGACCCGAGAAATCCGTGAGTCTTGGTAGAGCCTGAGACTGCCCCACCTCATGGGGCCTCCTGGAAGGGGTATGGCCATGCTGTCTGCAGAGGGCGGCAGCTCTGCCGTGGCGGGACACGGGGAGGCAGCTGAGCCGTGTGGACAAACAAAGTTGCCCAGGAAGTGGGGACCAGGTACCCTCCCTTCCCCTAGGTCTCCGTGCCAGGACCCAGGAGCCACGTGACACTCCCCGACCTGCAGGCAGCCACCAAGTACAGGGTCCTGGTCTCAGCTGTCTACGCAGCAGGCAGGAGTGAGGCTGTGTCTGCCACGGGCCAGACAGGTGAGTGGGCACCAAGACCCCAGACCCAGGTAGACCCAGACTCTGGCAGGCCCTAGCTCCCAGCCCCAGCCAGGCCCTAGACCCCAGACCCTGCCAGCTCCAGACTCATCCGACCCCAGACCCAGCCAACCCCAGACCCAGTTGACCCCAGGGGTCACAGGCAGGCAGAGGTCCCGGGGGGCTGGAGATGCCTGGTCCCAGGCTGGCCCCACCTGGATTCTCCAGGGACGAGGACATGGTCACAGTTGCCTGGGGTCTTCCACGGTGGGAGCCGCTGTTGCTGGTTTTTTGTCTCTCGCTGGTTTCCTGGAGAACCACAGGTGCAGGGCGGGGGCTGTCAGAGGCTTCCAGCTCGACCTACCGGCTTCCCTCTGGGGGAACCTCCCCATTGTGGGGTCTTCCAGTCTTGGCTTGCACGCCCTTGGGGTCGCGGTCCTCAGTGCCTGGACGGCTACCCTGGCGAGGCGGCCTTCCTATGGGAGGGGAGAGCGGCTTCTCCTGTCAGGGGTGCTCCTTTCTGCCTTCTCTGCCCATGAAGGGTTCTGAGCACCTGCCATAGGGCAAGCCCATGTCCCGAGGCCCCCAGGACACGCGTGCCCCCAGCCTGCCCGAACACCAGGCATCTCCCTGCCCCCAGGACACTCATGCCCTCAGCCTGCCCGCGCGCCAGGCATCTCCCTGCCCCCAGGACATGCGTGCCCCCAGCCTGCCCTCACGCCAGGCATCGCCCTGCCCCCAGAACACGTGTGCCCCCAGCCTGCCCTCACGCCAGGCATCTCCCTGCCCCCAGAACACGCGTGCCCCCAGCCTCCCCGCATGCCAGGCATCTCCCTGGCCCCAGAACACGTGTGCCCCCAGCCTCCCCACACACCAGGCATCTCCCTGGCCCTGCCAGCTCAGGGCACACCTGGGTGACCAGTACCCTCGAAGGGTATCACACCCAGTGGGATGCCTGGTACGACCCTGGGCCCACCGGGCTGTCTTCTGTGGGGACAGTGGGGGCAGCTGCTTCACTCAGTGAGATCCAGAGGGTCAGGGACCATCCCTGTTCCCTTGCTCTTCTGGGAGGCGTGGGGACCACTGGTCTTGCGGGTGGCAGATGGGACACAGCACAGTCCCACCTGTGCAGATGGAGCTCAGGCTGGGGCATCATCGACGAAGCGGCCGCTCCCCAGTGGTCCGTCAGGCATGGGGGGCCAGGCCGCTTCCGCTCACACTGATCCTGTCTCCTCCCAGCAGCCTGCCCAGCCCTCCGCCCGGACAGCTCCCTCCCAGGTGGGTCCTGCGCGCCCTCCCCTGCCTGCCCGCCCTCCCCTGCCTGCCCGCCCTGCAGTCTCTCAGGCTCTTCCTGGGCTTGGAGGCCAAGGGTGTCGTGACCTGGGACCTGGGGGTGGTGCAGTTGGAGGATGTTTGGGTGGGTTTGCACCTCCACAGACATCCCTGTGGCTGGCTGGGCGGTGATTATTCCTGCTTCTCACTGAGGGAGCCAAAACTTGTGCAAGGTCAGGGCCAGGACCTGGCAGAGCCCAGGCAGCGCTGGGGGCCCTGGGTCCTTTCCAGGCCCATTCCAGGGTCTCGGCTGACCGGAGCCTGGGGTCCTCATTCCAGTTGCCTGAGAGTGAGGCCCTCCCCAGAGAGGGGCTGAGAGGTGGACGACTCGAGGGCAGGGGACGGTGCCCCGAGGGTGCAGGGAGGCCTGCGGGTGGTGAGAGCTGAGTCTCACCTAGGGCTTCAGCGAGTGAACCTCCGTGGGGCTGTGACTGCTCTGAGCCTGCAGCAGGGACAAGACAGGACGGGGGGGCAGGCGGGGATGGTGGGAAGGCAGGGACGGCCGACCTGAAACAGGCCTTGGAAGGGGCTGCGGCCTCGGCCGCCTCCTGCCCAGACCTGCTGGCAGCGCCAATAAGCAGCAGTGTGAATGGGGTTTCGCCTTCACTTTGTACCAGTTAGTGCTGGAAAGGAGCTGGGGCTTCAAGGATGGCGTTGGCCCCTACGGCTCTGTGCGGGTGGGGCTCACCGGGGAATGGGGTCATTGCGGGCCCCCAGGCAGGGTGGATGGAGCGAGCCGGCCACGCTGTGTGCCAGCCAAGGGGAGCTCACTGGCGGAGGCTTCCTCCGAGGGAAAAGGACCCTGGGTGGGCTGGGATGCTGTGCAGTGGGCTTGCTGGGGGGCAGGGGTGAGAGGTGGGAGTTGGGACTCATGGTCGGGGGCTGGGCTTCCACCCTGTCCATCTCTGGGCCTCTGAAGCTGGGCGTGTGGCCCAGTGATTTCCCAGGGAGGCCTGGGGGGCCCCTCCCAGTGTGTTGGATTCCCCTGGGGAGGGGCGGGGGGCGATGCCCAGCCCAGGGCCTGAAGCAGACCCCTGCCCAGCCCCCAGCCCCCGTGCTGACTTCCCACCCACCCCACTGCGTCAGCCCCTCCCTCCCACCATGCTGCTCCCTCCATCCTTGCTCCTCTCTCCCTCTGTGTTCCTCCCTCCCTCTGTGCTCCTCCCTCTGTCCATGCTCCTCCCTCCCACCATGCTGCAGCCACTGGGTCCCTCTTGAGTCCCTGCTCCTGCCCCTCCCTCCCTTCCCCCCCGCCATCTCTGATGGTCCCTTGGTGCCCCCTCCCCCTCTACGTCCCCCAGGGTTTGACCTGATGGTGGCCTTCGGCCTGGTGGAAAAGGCTTACGCTTCCATCCGGGGCGTGGCCATGGAGCCCTCTGCCTTCGGTGGGACCCCAACCTTCACGCTTTTCAAGGACGCCCAGCTGACAAGACGGGTCAGGTGTGAGGGCGAGGGCTGGGGTGGAGCTGGAAACCCATGCTGGGGCCGCTGAAGGTTAAGAGGACATGGAGCCGGGGCACAGGCAGGAGACCTCCTGGAGGCTGTGGGACGTGGCAGCGCTGCCACAGCAGCAAAGGGTTGACTCACCCCAGTACTCACACTTCGGAAATTCACATTTTACAAATTAATCAAATCTCCATGGGCGGAGTGAGGCCAGCCCCTTGGCATGTTTTTGCACCCAAGTATGGGTCTGTTTGCCATGATCAAACATGCAGGAGCCCCAGGCTGACCTCCTGTGAGAGCCTTTTTCCCACCTGAGGCGATGGGATGAATCTGCCAATAGCTGGGTTTAGAGGAAGCGATCACTTCAAATAGCTTCTCAGGAGATTTGGGACGACTCCTGGTATCTCATGACGCCCCTACCTTATTTACAGAGATGTTGTTAATTGTGACCCTGAATTGTGATGTATGCTGCTGATATTTTAAGTTAAAATGTTTGATTATAAAGGTGAAAGTCAGGTGTGTTGCTGCACATCTGCAGTCCCAGCTACTGGGGAGGCTGAGCCCAGGAGGTTGAAACTAGCCTGGGCAATGCAGCAAGACCCAACCTCTACCAATAAACAAACTTAGCCGGGTGCAGTGGCAGGCACCTGTGTTCTCAGCTACTCGGGAGGCTGAGGTGGGAGCATGTCTGTCTCAGGAGATGGAGGCTGCAGTGAGCCAGGATTGTGCCACTGTAGTCCAGCCTGGGCAACAGAACAAGACTCCGTCTCTTAAAAAAAAAAAAAAGTTGCAAAGGTGAGTTCCATTCTGTAACAGAGATTTTTAAATTACAGAAATATATATATTTAAAAACTCATCTAGCACTGCCCCAAGCTCTCTGCTTTCAAGCAAACCCTCCTGGGACCAGACAGCCAAAGTTGTTCACCACGGGGCCACTGTTTCCATGAGTCCCTGTTCTCAAAGGAGGGCTCCTCCTGGCCTCGCAGCCTGAGCGGGCGCTTCCCATGCCTGTTTGCCCTTCCGGAGCTCACGGCCCGAGAAGTGGAGGCGGATGGTTCTCTAGGTGCAGCCACCCAGGGTGGAGCCCCGTGAGGGCTGCCACGCCGAGAGAGGAGGGCTCCTGCTGTGTGGGGCCAGGAGGCTCCTGAGGGGGCACCGCGGTGCCCAGGCCCCGGGTCGGTCTGCTCTCGGGACTGCAGCTCCCGCTGTGTGGGGCCGGGAGGCTCCTGAGGGGGCACCACGGTGCCCAGGCCCCGGGTCGGTCTGCTCTCGGGACTGCAGCTCCCGCTGTGTGGGGCCGGGAGGCTCCTGAGGGGGCACCACGGTGCCCAGGCCCCGGGTCGGTCTGCTCTCGGGACTGCAGGAAGGTGGCTGGGCAGGGTCTTTCTTGGGCTGTTGGTTTTCATCCTAAGAGTGAGTGGAAGCCAGATAGGAGGCTGCGGCCATTGGGACCCCAATTATGTCAGGGGCTAGAGACCCTGCTCCCTGAAACATGAGGGGACCAAGACCCTGGTCCCGGCCCTCAGGGCGTCTGGCTGGGCACTGGCGAGGACCCGCTGGGCACTGCCAATGAGTGTGAGTCAGGGGAGCTGCTCCCGAGAGCAGAGCTGCCTTTCAGGAGTGACCCTGAGACCCTCCTGTGGGGTGTCCTGGGCCGGCACCCCTCACCCTCACTGGGGCCCCCAGGAGCACGGGTCTTGGTGAGCCCTTGCTGGGGTCATCTGAGATGTGACCTGAGATGACCTTGGGCCTGGTGCCTCCGAGTACTTCTGTTGAATCCTCCTCATTCCATGGGAGGGGATTCTGTCCTTTATGTACCCCATGTTACTCATGGGAAACCGAGGCAGGGAAGCCCCATGTGGCCTCATAGACCCTCAGCTCTGTGGACCCACCAGTCTGGGCTCTGATGGAGCCAACAGCCTCCACGCTGAGTCTGCAGCTGGGAAGGGCGTGCGGGTGCAGCTTCAGGGACGGTGCAGGGGTCCACCATGACCCTCAGAGCAGCTTCAGGGACGGTGCAGGGGTCCACCATGACCCTCAGAGCAGCTTCAGGGACTGGGGCTGGGGCTGGGGCTGGGTGAGTGGATCGTCCTGCCAGGCTTGGCCGCCCTCGGGTCTGCTCATGTGCCTCCACCTCCCCCAACCCCACAGTGACGTCCACCCAGCCCCGCTCCCTCCAGAGCACACCATCGTCTTCCTTGTGCGCGTGCTTCCCGAGACGCCCCGTGAGGCCTTTGCGCTGTGGCAGATGACGGCCGAGGACTTCCAGCCCGTCCTCGGGGTTCTGCTGGACGGTGATGTGGGCCCCGCATCGCCCCCAGCAGTCAGGAGGAGTGGGGGCAGGGAGGCCCCAGAGCCCTGGGAGGCCGTCGGAGGAAGTCCAGCCTCCAGGCCAGGCCCTCAGCACCCCCAGGCAGCAGGGGTGTGGGCGCCCACCCTGGGTGGGAGGCAGGTGTCCCGGTCAGGGGGCCGTGGGCCACATTGAGGGTCACCTTCAGTTTGGCACCCTCAGGGCTGCTCCTGGCCTGTCGTGAGGGCCGCGCTGCTCCGGGTGTAGGCCCGGCTGGCTGCAGCCCGTTCTCACCTGCTCCACCCCTTCCCTGGCAGCCGGGAGGAAGTCCCTGACCTACTTCCACCGCGACCCCAGGGCTGCCTTGCAGGAGGCCACCTTCGACCCACAGGAAGTGAGGAAGATTTTCTTCGGGAGCTTCCACAAGGTCCTGGAAGGCTGCAGTTCACACCACTCTCCCCCGTTCCCCCAGCTCTGGGGCAGCCCAGCCCCAGAGGGCCCTGCTGGATCCCTACTCCTCTCTCTAGAAGAGCAGGACCTTCCTTGGGAGGGAAGGTTGACCTAGGGCTCTGTCCCTCTACCCAGCTCTTCCATCTTAACTGGAGTCGAAGAGCTTCCCAGCCCGTCTCTTTGGGACCCACAGACCCCGGAGGCTCCTGCAGCAGGTGCCATTTGGTCCATTTTACAGAGGGGAAGCCGAGGCACAGCAAGGGGGAGCTCTCCCAGGGTCCCCTGAAACCTGAGGGGAGATCAGGCTCCTGACCCCAGGCCCCGGTGATGGGTGTTACTCCCCAGCTCTGGCCTGGCCTTGGGGGCTCAGGTGGGCACTGGCCCTGCCTGGGCCGTGGGGAACCTCCCGTGCTGTCTCGCAGGTGCACGTGGCTGTGGGCCGCTCCAAGGTCAGGCTCTATGTGGACTGCCGAAAGGTGGCTGAGCGGCCCCTCGGGGAGGTGGGCAGCGCACCCTCTGCCGGCTTCATCACACTGGGGAGGCTGGCCAAGGCCAGGGGCCCCAGGAGCAGCTCGGCCGCGGTGAGTTGTCCTGCTGGGCCGCGCTGGTTGGGGCTGGCCGCCTCCCTGAGCCCCTGGGGCTGAGCCGGCTCCCCTGCGTTGCAGTTTCAGCTCCAGACACTGCAGATCGTGTGCAGTGACACCTGGGCCGACGAGGACCGGTGCTGTGAGCTCCCTGCCTCGGTGTGCCCCGTCTCTTGCCCCTGTTCCACGAAGCAAGTTAGGGCTGGTGCCCACTGAGGGTCAGAGTGCCTGGGGTCTTGGCCTGTCCAGATTGCCACTGTGCTGGGAGAGGTCAGGGAAGGCTTTCAGAGGAGGTGGCCTCAGGGCCAGAGGGTGAGCCCAGGGGGGCTGGACGGAGAGTCCTGGAGGCCCTGGGAACCCCTGGCCCCACTCAGGGCCACGCCCACCTCTGTGGGCCCAGCCGCATGCAGATGAGTCAGGAAGGGTCCCACAGCCAGGCCAGAGAGCCGCTCCCAGCCTCGGTGACTCCTCTGTGTACCCTGTGCTGGGCTTGGCTCTACTGGGGGCCCAGATGGGGGAGAGAGGGAGGGAGAAGGTACCACTCTGTCCCGGGCTCATGCGGACAGCCTGGCGGGGTAGGTACCCAGGGCTGGCTGCACACGCAGGGGCTTAGTGGCCTGAGCCCGGGACCTGCCCACTGTGCACTTGTGCCCCGACCTTCACCCCTGCCTCCCAGGTGCAGGCCTGGAAGTCTCCCTGGAGCCCAGGTGTGCTTGGCTGAGCTCAGCTCTCGGGTCAGGCGAGAGCCGGGGAGAGGGTCTCTCTGATGAGCAGGTGTCTTTTCTTCCAGAGGGATGGAGAGACCTGCCCGGCCTTCGTGTCTGCCTGCTCCTGTTCCTCAGAGACCCCTGGGCCCCCAGGGCCCCAGGGACCCCCAGTGAGTCCAGTGGTGTCTCCCTGGGGTGACCGGGGAACCCTGGCCAACATATTGCTGCCCCTGGTGGATGTGGAACCCAGGCCCTCCCGCCCCAGCCCATCCCCCCCCGTCCTGCCGCAGAGCTGGGATGTACTTCATGAGCCTCCGCCCTGAGGCCTGGCCCAGCGCCTGCCTTCCCCCAGGCTGGGCCTCCCCGGCAAGCCCTCCTCTGGTGTGCAATCCAGTGTTTCTCAATGTCAGGGTTGGGCAGGGAGTCCAGGCGCAGCTCCTTCCTTCCCCCAGGCTGCCCCTGCCCCCACGAGCCCTCCCCTGGTGCAGAATCCAGTGTCAGGCTTGGGACAGGTCCAGGTGCAGCTGGGATCCAGAACTGTGCTGTGGCTGCAGGGCGTGACGCGGGCCGGCTGCGAGTCACAGCCACTCGGACGGCCGCTGTCCTGGGTGCTGGCAGCCCAGCTCACCTGCAGCAGAAGCTGTAGGGTCCCTCTGCCCAGGCCCGGACCCCTGCTATGGGGACCTGAGAGGTCATTGGACCTGCCATGGCCGCAGCTGCCTCTGCTCACCCCAAGGTTCCAGCACCCCGCAGGTGATGGCTGGGGCTTCCAGAGCTGGCTCCCTGGGACCGGTCAAGCGCACTCACTCTGAGCGCAGTGTCCACAGCCCTGTCTGCTCAAGGGGCTGGGTCTGAACCTGGAATGCCTGACTGTGAGAGGGAAGGACGGGCTCGTGTGTCCTTGCCCTGGAAGCCCCTTTCCTTCCCCCTGACAGCAGTGGACAGACCAGGGCTGGGTGGGGTTAGGTGCTCAGGGTGGACCCGGCATGGGGCTGAGCGGCTGGTCTGTGCCCCGTGCCTCGGTTGGGGTGGTTCTGGGGGCTTAGCCCTGTTTGTGCCTCTGCAGGGCCTCCCTGGGAGGAACGGCACTCCGGGAGAGCAGGGCTTCCCCGGGCCCAGGGTAAGTTTTTGGTGAGTCCTGGGAGGTGGGGGGCTTGGATCCGGCCTGCTAGAAGAGGACGCCCCTCCCAGGGCGCTCTTGAGAGTGCAGGGAGCTGCATGGAGCCTCCCTAGGCAGGGCGGGGCCTCCCCAAGCTGCAGACAGGCAGGGACCCCAGCACCCCAGGGGTCCAGGGGGTTTGGACTGGCCTCTCCCGTGTGCCTGCTGGGCGCCTGGCCTGGGCCTGGTTACGGTGGAAGTCCCCTTTTCACCCAGAGAGAGAGGATGAACCCCATGGCCCGACGGGGGAATCTGAGGCTTGGGGAGGTGAGGCCACCTGTCCTGTCAGCCCTGAAGGCCGCCCTTGATTTCTACGGGGCAGGCACGAGCCAGATGCCTTCTGTGTGCTGGGCTGGGCCCAGGAGCTTAGGTCCACAAAGTATTTTCAGATGTAGCAGCATATGCGCAGTGTGCGGGGAGGTGTTTCGGGGGTGGGGGTTCTGGTTCTGCAGAGACGGATGTTGAAGACAGTGCACCCAGCAATGACAGCAGCGCGCACCCCAGACATGAGAGGGCCACCCTCCGGGCTCGATTCTAAGCATTTACCTAAACCACGGTACTGCACAAGCATGACACAGATGCCAAAAGTGTGGTCGGCGTGCAGCGAGGCCGTCCTCCTTCCGACCCCGACACCCGCCTCTCTCCCGGCAGCCTTCCGGAGAGTTCCACATCCCCGTGAGCACAGACGTGAGCCTGGCTCCGGCGGGGCTGTCCTGTTGCACCTGCACTGCCTTTGTTGGTGGTTGTGCTGGAGCCTGAGTGCGCATCCCAGGCTCAGATTCCCTAGGAGAGTTGCTGGGTGGAAGGGCACACGCGGGCCCCTGTGCTTTGGGGTGGATGTCCCCACACTGGCCCTGCAGAGCCGTGCAAGGTGCTCCCCCGCGACAAGCTAGCACTGGCTTCCCACCCCCATCTTGTGTAACTGGCTGCTTCGGGAGCCATCTGATAGATGAAAATGCATTTCTCTTCCAAGCAGCGTGAACGCCCTTTGAAAGTGTCCCATGTTTTCTTGCTGGAGATGTCCTCTGACTTCTCGGACACTGTTACTTTTCTTAATAATTGGTGGGCACGCTTTTTACTTGCTGGAACCAGCCCTGTGTCTGTGATGTGAGTTTTGACTGCGTTTGGCATTTTCTTGTCTTTTGACCTTGTTGGCGATGTGCGTTTCCGTACAGAGTTTAAAATAACTTTTACGTAGTCCGTGTTAGTGCTCTGTTCTATGGCTTCTGTATCCTGTGTTAAAGGGTCTTCCTTACTCCGAGAGTAGAGAGCGCCTCCTCCTGGTTCCTCCTGGTGCTTGCAGGCCCTTTTCAGTACTCCAGGTGGATTCCTCTAGAGCTGATTTTGTTACAACGCTGGGGAGGACGGAGGACGGGGAGGACTCCAGCTTCACCTCTTCACAGACCACCCGTGGTCGCCTGAGTCTTTCCTTACACAGCCCGCCCCTCGTGGAAGTTAAACGCTGTTGCTCTCGTGATGTCCCAAGGCCCCTGTGTATTTTGGGGGTTTTCAGGCGCTCCAAATCCGTCCCGTTGATTTGTCTGCTGTTCACATGCGAGGGCAGTGCTTCTTAAATTACTACAGATTTCTTTAAAATTTTAATGCCAGGCGGGCTGGTCCTCTTTTGTATTCCCCAGAATTTTTTTCCTGGCTCTCTTTGCTTATTTCATTGTTCAGTGAACTGTAGAATTGACTTATCCATTTAACCTCAACAATTCAGTTGGTGTTTTTATTGGGACCGCATTCGCTTTATAGACATAATTGGGAACAGATGACGTTTTTATGGTATTGAATCTTCTCGTCCAAAACACGGCCATCCTGCCGTTGGTTCACAGGGCCTTTTGTGGCCCTCAGTACAGCGCAGGGACAGTCTCTTCCTACAGACCCGCTCGGTTCTCCTTCGTCCCTACGTAGTTCCTCTTTTTTGTTGCTATTATAAGTTAGGTCTTTTCTCTCATTACAGCTTCTACCTCATTATTTTCACACAGGTTTCTTTCTCAATTATCTTCTTCTTTTTTTTTTTTTTTTTGAGACAGAGTCTCGCTCTGTCGCCCAGGCTGGAGTGCTGTGACACAATCTCGGCTCACTGCAAGCTCCGCCTCCTGGGTTCACACCATTCTCCTGCCTCAGCCTCCAGAGTAGCTGGGACTACAGGCGCCCGTCACCTCGCCCGGCTAATGTTTTGTACTTTTTTTTTTTAGTAGAGATGGGGTTTCACTGTGTTAGCCAGGATGGTCTTGATCTCCTGACCTCGTGATCCGCCCGCCTCGGCCTCCCAAAGTGCTGGGATTACAGGCGTGAGCCACTGTGCCCGGCCTCAGTTATCTTCTTTATGATTTTCTGGGGTGTTCCAGATTTATAGTGACGTCACCTGCAAAGAAACACATCACCTTCGGCTTTTCAGTCTGGATCAGTCCGATTTCTTTTTCTTATCTAAGGGTGTTGGTGAATCCTCCAGAATTTTGTCAGAAAGCCATGGTGGTAGCAGATATTCTCATTTTCTTCTTGGCTTAACAAAAGTGCTTCTAGCATTTGACCATTAAAATGCTGTCCTGGAAGCAGAGACAGGTGCACTTTGTCATGTGGTAGTGAAGTCCATTCACTCTTATTTTATTAGATTTAAAACATCAAGAATGAGCATTAAACAAGCTCTAGTGCTGTTATGGACATAATGAAATGACTGTGCCTTTTGAGCTATTAATTGTAGGATATCCCTCAATACCGGATGATTCGTGCATCCGTCGAAAATCTGACACGGTCGCTGGATTCTCGTTATCCGTGTCATGTGCTGCAGAGTTCAGCTTCTGACATTTTGTTTTGGATTTTGCATTGATGCTTATAAATAAGACTGTCGCAGTTTTCTTTATAGTGTTTGGAACCTCGATTTGCTTTGTTCAAAAGGTAATTTGAGTTTAAATAGCAGCAGTGTGCGCCCCACAGGGCTGGATTTCCCGTAAAACCTGAGTCTAGTGTTTTGGGGTCCAGGGCTTAAGAAAGTCTTCTATCTCTTCCTTACAGTTGGCCCGTGGGGGTCTCTGGCTTTTCCTCAGTGATTTCTGCAACGCCCCCACACCCCTGTTGGAACCCAGAGTTGGGCAGGGGAGGGCTGGGGGTGGAGTTGGTTGGAACTGGCTTCACAGGCTTGGCTTGGCCGTTCTCTGGCGCTGCAGACCCCGACTGTGGGTGCTCCCAGACCCTCCCAGGGTGGGCATGAGGGTGCTGGGGCTGCCCCTGCCTCTTTAATGGAGATGTCTCCATGTGGGCCTGGGCCTGAATGCCCAGAGGGCCGGGAGGGCTGGCTGTGACCCAGAGGGGCCACAGGAGGGGCAGCCAGAGCGACCTTTTCGGGCCCTCCCCACTGCCTGTGTCTCCAGGGAGAGCCCGGGCCACCCGGACAGATGGGACCAGAAGGTCCTGGAGGCCAGCAGGGGTCACCGGGGACCCAAGGCCGTGCAGTCCCGGGGCCTGTGGTGAGTGTCACCCATTCCCCGCCCTCCTGCCCTGTGCCCCCTCCGCTTCACTGTCCAGCCCATCTCCCCCTCCAGGGTCCACCAGGGGTCAAAGGAGAGAAAGGAGACCATGGGCTCCCAGGCCTGCAGGTAGTGTGGCTGGGGCTGGGGCCACAGGGGTTGGTGGCGGCGGGGGAGGGGGAAGTACAGGGATGGAGATGGGGAGTGCATGGGGGACACAGGGGTCGGGGGTGAGGCCTCACAGGCAGGGCCACCTCTTCTGGATGTGACCTTGGCCCCTCTGTTCTCTCCCAGGGCCACCCCGGCCACCAGGGCATCCCCGGGAGAGTTGGCCTCCAGGGACCAAAGGTGCTGACTCTGGGCTTGGAGGGTTCTGTCAGGGTGGTAGAGACTGGCCTGTGGTGGTGGGGGGACTTGGAGGTGGAGGCTGTGGGGTAGGGAGGGGGAGGTGCTTCCTCCTGGGCTCCTGCCTCACCCACTGCACCACCCCCTTCAGCCTGTGGCCTGGCCAGAAGGCAGGAGAGCTCCAGCCCACCCCAGGCAGGAGTTGTCACTGAGGTGGGGTCAGGTGGGGGGTGGCTAAGTAGGAGCCTGGCAGCCTCAGCTGCCTCACCTTTGCTGCTTGGGTTACAGGGTGTATTGGGTGCTGCTGGGGGCTGTCACCATGGGAGGGCTGGGTACAGGTACAAACCCCACCCAGCTTGCGCCTTCCTATGCCATTAGGGAATGAGAGGCCTGGAGGGAACTGCTGGCCTGCCCGGACCCCCTGGCCCCAGGGTAGGCACCAACCTCCCATGACTCCCACCCCCACCCAGGGCTCCTGTGTTCCAGGGGCCAGGCAGAGGCTAGTCTGAACACCAGCTGTTACCCCTAGGTCACCCCAGGAAGTGGCCTGGGAGGGCCTCACTACTGCTGGAACTTTCTGCAGGGCCCTGTGGGTGGATGAGCGTCTGCCCAAGAGCACTACATGCCCCCAAGTGAGGGCTCTGTGCTGAGGACTCAGTTCCTGGGAGACCTTGATGGGGGGGTCTCCTGGCGTTGGCCTCGGGCTGAGTGCTGCAGGCTAAGTTGCCTCCCCGTAAGCACCACTTTGGGGGAAGCCTAACTTGCAGTCACACTGGGGCAGCTGGAACAGCTAGGGACATTTAGAGCAGCCTGGGTGCTGACAGCACTGGAGGAGGAGCACAGGGCATGGAGAGCCAGGGCCTGGAGGCAGGGGAGGCACCGCCTGCCAGAGGAATGGCCTGAGGGAGGCTGGGGCCAGCTGGGGGTCCACTGCCCTTGTCAGGTCAGGGGGGCCCTGGGACGTCCAGGAACCAGGGCTGAAGTGGGAACAGATTTGCTGGGGGCCTAAACCAAACGCTGACTTCCGTGTCTCTGCAGGGGTTCCAGGGCATGGCAGGGGCCAGGGGCACTACTGGAGAGAAAGGACCCCCAGGGGCCGTGGGGCCCACAGTAAGTTCACTTCCAACACCCACCAGCCAGTCAAAGGTGGGGGAGAGAAGGGTGCAAGCCCCATATTCTCAGGGACTTCCTGCTGACCACCCAGGGACTTCCTGTTAGCCCATGGACTTCCTGTTGACTGCCAGGGACTTCCTGTTTACCACTCAGGGACTTCCTATTGGTGGCCCAGGGACTTCCTGTTGACCACTCAGAGACTTCCTGTTGACCACCCAGGGACTTCCTATTGACAGCCCAGGGACTTCCGGTTGACCTCTCAAAGACTTCCTGTTGATCACTCAGGGACTTCCTGTTGACCGCTCAGGGACTTCCCATTTGTTATTGGAGGCCTGTTCTGAGCTGGGAGCTTGTTGGTGCTAGTGCAAGAGAGTAGAGCCAGGGCTGGTTCTGCACCTCCCCCAACCCCACCCAGGACAGACCTGGTGGAGGGGAGGTGGTGGGGTGGCAGGCTCCGTGGAGGCACCACCATCCCCTATAGGGGGACAGACGTGGGAGATGGAGGTGTAGTATCCCCTAGGGGATGCCTTGACTTTCAGCAGCTCCATGGGCCCCCGCTTACGTGGGCTCCAGGTTCCCCAAGGAGCTGGAGAGGTGGAAGAAGACAGAAGTTAGCAAGGAAGCACTGGCACAGGCCTGGCCTGAGCCCGGGAAGGGTCTGTTCTCTGGGCAGTGTCCCACACCCGCCATCTCCCCTAGCACAAAAATCTACAGCCAGAGGCAAGTCCTTTGTGGCACAAGTTCCAGCCCCACTCAGGACTCTGCTGCAGAACCAAGCTTCTCACATGCCTGCTCTGGGGTGCAGGCAAGGACCACAAGCTCCTAGGATCTGGGAATTTGGGATTGGGCTTTGGCTCTGCCTGCCCTGTGGGGTCACACTGCCACTGTGGCTATCAGGCTGCCCAAGCCATGATCCACCCCAGGGCCATCTCGCATTTCTCGTGTGTGGTCTCAGGCCATCCCTGCTGACTTCTTTTCTCTTCTCCTCATCAGGGGCTGCCGGGGCCCAAAGGGGAACGAGGAGAGAAGGTGAGTGAGACTGAGAGTCTTTGGCTCAGCTCGGGATCACCTGGGAAGGCACCAGCCATACGGGTCCCAAAGCTGCACCACCTTCCCTTCCAGGGCGAGCCGCAGTCCCTCGCCACCCTCTACCAGCTTGTGAGCCAGGCCTGTGAATCCGCCATCCAGAGTGAGTGAAGCCAGTAGCCCTGCACCTGTGCCCAGCACACCTGTCTGTCCTCACAGTGGCCAGGCTGAGGGAGGCCGCCTTTACCCACCGTTAGCACACCTGGGTATCCTGGCATAGCCTGCCCAGGCTTCGCATCCCCTGGCTCCCACTGCATCCCGCTGCCACCCTTCCTTCCCACAGCACACGTGTCAAAGTTTGACTCCTTCCACGAGAACACCAGGCCCCCAATGCCCATCTTGGAGCAGAAGCTGGAGCCGGGCACTGAGCCCCTGGGGTCCCCTGGCACCCACAGCAAGGACCTGCTTCCTGGAGAATGGAGACATGGTAGCCGCCACCTAGAGGGCAGAGGTACTGGGCTCCTGGCTCTTGGGGAGGGAGTTGTGGCCAGCGGGGAGCCGGTTGTCCCCTGGTCCTGGGGCTGGAGCATCGATCTGTGTCAGCACAGCAGCCCCTGCTGGAGACACCACTGTCCAGCCTCTGGGGTGCTGTGGCGAGGACACGGGGCTTCCCTAAGCCCAGACAAAGCCAGTCATGACGCAGAGCTCAGCCTTGGCCTGGCCTTCCGAGGCCCTCACGGTGACCCCTTCCCCAATCTTCAGGAAACACGAGCTGCCTGCTTAGGGCCACCCAGGAGGGCCCAGCCTACCTCCCATCCTCCCTCCCTCCCTCCTGCCCTCGTGTCCTCCCCGTCCCCTCTCTCCCGCCCTCTCATCCTCCTGGCTACTGCTTCCCCCGCCTCTCCCCACCCAGCGCAGAGCCGCAGGCTCCCGTGAGCTTGGTGCTCCTCCTCCTCTGAGGCCGCAGCGGTGGGTCATGACTTGGATGGTGAGATGGAGGAAAGGCTGATTTGGGAGCTGGAGCTGGAGAGGGGCGTCCATGGGGAGGACAGACAGGGAGATGACCCAGCCAGACGAGGACTGAGTTCTGCACTGGCCGAGGCAGCCGCAGCTAGACAAGGGTGACAGGCACTGTCACAGGGCCCCCACCTGACACCTCCCCACCTGGCCATGCCCCCCCAAACCTGTCATGGAGCCCAAGGGGCACCTGTGTGGGGCACAGGGACCTGGTACGCTGCTGTCCCCCAGATCTCAGCCTCCATCTGAGGACCAGACCTGCTGCCTGCACCCAGGGAGGGGCCCTGACACCCTCTGTCCCCGTCAGAACAGGGCCCCAAGCCACTGCATTGCTCCGTCCTCATATACCCTCCCTTTCCTCGCAGGGGAGCCTGGAGCTGTTGGTCAGACGGGCAGCCCTGGGCAGCAGGGGGGCTAGCACCCAGGGCCTCTGGGAGCGACAGGTGAGCCCCTGCTGCCTGCACCTGCCAGGGCTGAGGGCATCCAGGAAGGAGGAGCTCCTGAGGGGCTGACGGGTGGGGCCTTGTGCTATCCAGGGTGGGGTGCTGCGAGCACAAGGCCCAGCACAGGCAGGTGAGGTGGCCCTGGGGAAAGTAGGGTCAACTGTGGACCCCATAGGGGCAACAAAAATGTGGGATCACAGGCCGTGGGGCCAGGGCGTGGGGCCGCAGGGCGTGGGGTCCTGGAGACGGATTGGCATGCTGGGAGCCTGCTCGACCTCGTGGGCTGCAGAGTTGCATGCTGGGATGGAGGATGCCCTGACCAGGGGAGAGTGGAGCTCAGGTGTTTGCTCAGGGGGCACCTGGTCCAGTTGTGGGGAAGCTCACAGGAGTCCCAGGAGGGGCCTGTGAGGCCCTGGGTATGTCGATGAGAGAGGCAGGGTGGGGGCTGTGGTAGCCCCAGGTAACCTCTCCCTTCCTCAGGAAGTGCTGGGCAGGTGGCCCCTGTGTGCAAACTTAGCTGAGGGGCTGGTCCCAGGAGCAGGTGTGGGGACAGGGTGCAGGTGGGTACAGCACAACTCCAGCCTCAAGTAGCTTCAGGGGCCAGAGTGTGGCACGGGTGTGTGACCTGGGCCCGTGAGGGGCCGGTGCCTTTGAGCGAGGGGACTCAGCAGGGGCTAGGAGGGCCAAGGAGCACAGGCAGGAGACTCAGGGGCTCCTGGCCAAGCTGGGGCAAGAGGGCAGCTGCCCGAGATGCCTGAGAGTCAGGACAGAGCCCAGGGCTAAGGACAAGCAACCTTGCTTCTCCTCCACAGACCCACCAGAGAATGACCCTACCCACAGCCCTGCCCACAATCCTGCCCACCCACGACCCTGCTGGACGCGGCGTGTGGAAACCCAGGCACTGGCCCTGAGCCTGTGTCCAACTGTCTTCAGCCTTTCAGATCTGTCTGCCCTTCTCTCCTGCCAGGACATTTTCTGCACTGTCCCGAGGAACCCTGCGCCTTCCTCCATGGTTTGTCTGGACACCAAGAGCGACCACATCCTGGAAAAGCCAGGAGAAAAGCTCAGGAAGCACCTGCAGGTGGAAGGAGAGGGAAGGAGCAACCTTGGCCAAGGCCCACCCCACACCCTTGGCTCTGTAGCATTTCCAAGTTCAGATAAACCACCGAGTGCTCACCCACCCAAGCGAGGCGGGAGTCATTTCCCTGGAGGGTGTCCCCCACCCTGGCTCCGTGCACCCCACCTTGAGGTCCTGCAGCTCCAGCTGCAGTGGAGAAGGGGAGGGGCGGGGCTGATGGTAAATCGGGTCCAGGAGGGCAGTGGTGCCCCATGGCCGTCTCACTAGCTGTCACACAGGCTCACCAGCATGCCCTGCCCCTTTCTCTGGGCCTCATCAAAGCCTGGCCGGGGCCCTGCAGACCCTCCTCACTCTGCGCCTCACGCAGGGAACAGACGGCTCCACTGCTGTCCCACTGGTCACCTGCATGGTGGCTCCTGCCTCAGAACAGCACTCCCACCCTGACCCCAGCACCTTTGCATCTGGGAACAGGCAGGGTCCTGCCTGCCTCATCGTCCCCTCTGTCTCCAGCCCAAGAAGGAGTTCAGATCCTGTGTGTGAGTGGCCACCCCTCATATACCCAGCCCTGTGCTGAGTTCCTTGTGCAGGGCCATTGCTTTGAGACTTGGCACCATCAGCCCTGGTCCTTAGGGTCTCAGAGCAAGGTCATCCCTCAGCAGGCTTCTGACCTGCGTGCTCCTCAGCACTTCTGCCCAGGTCTCTCCCAACCATCACAGACACTATGAGCTGGACTTCCTGCCTTATCTCCACTCTGTCCCAAACAGCATGGGGGCAAGCTCAGAACACACACCTGGGCTTCTGGGCCTTGTGGCCTGTGGAGGTGATGTGGGAACTTCTACTTCCTTTCCAAACAAATATTCAGTAACTAGTCCACTATTACCACTTAGGCAGCTAAGCAAGATAGGTGCCAGAAATGAAGAAAGAACCCATATCATTGAGGAGAGAATGAAAAGTATTTAAAAGGAACAGAAAGAGACCCTTGATATTGACAGAAGGAAAACCCACCAAGATCCCTAGTGCAGCACTGCATGCACCAAAGCATACCTCAAAGAGGTGAGTGCAAAACAGCTTCAGGGCAAACACTTTGTCTGTGATTCAACCGTTCCAGGAACTGACCAGACCTGGAGACCAAATGGAGAGTGATAGGCAGGGTCAGCAGGATGGGAGAGAGTGCCTGCACCCACAGGAGCTGCAGCCCTGACTGAGGCCAGGAAGTACCCCCAAATGCCAGCTCCCACTGCAGCATGAGGACAGAAACAGACCACTGAGAATTCCCAAGGTTTGTGGACAAGTCAGAGGTCAAAGAAGTCAGGTGGCATCAATACAGATTTTGCCCTGAGGGACAAGGAGAGCATGTGGCCAAAGTAGGTGCAGCTAAGGCAGCATCTGGGGAAGAGTCATAGCCTTCAGTGCAGGTATCAGACACAGTTGTTGAGAGCAGCAGCCCAAGCCAGCCCCTCCGTCCTGCAGGGAGGACACCTAGGTCACTTGACTTCTGCTGGAGAGCTGAGTTGCTTCAGATCGTGTGACCAGTGACACAGCTTGGTTGCACTCACTTGGTTTCTCTAGGGCTGGGAATTAAATGTCTCCTGCTGAACTGAGAAGGCTCTTTGAGCAGTGGAGTGAGCAGGCTTTGTCATGAGGCAGGAGTGGGGCTAGAATCAAGCCCAGAGCCCACAGGGCATCCAGAGCCTTCCAAAGGAGCCCCTCTCCTGGGCTCTCAAATTTGAAGGGACTGGGCACTGGGTGGCTCATGGAGACCACACTGGCAGCCGGGAGGAGGCAGCCTGGCGGGGAGGAACCAGGGTCACTCCAATCTCCACCAACCTCTCAGCTGCCCTACCCTCACCACCCTGCTGATGCCAGTGACAAGGCTCAGCCTCAAAATGGGAGTCCGGGTGCCTTCAGGAAACTGAGTTCATGCTGGAGGCCAATTAAAATGGCACAGCAAAGGCAGCGGCCAGCTGGTGCCCAGGCAGCTTAGGGACTGGTTCCTGAGGCCCCACCCACCCCAGCCTGTGCAGTGAAGCTGAGTACGAGTCAAAGGTGAGGACGGGCAAGGGAGCTGAGAGCAGCCCCCGAATGCAACGCACCGGCCTGGCTCCTCTGTTTACAGGAAGGCAGCCTCCCCGAGACCCAGCTGACCTGCGCGTCTCCCATCAGCTCCGACTCCACTGCATCCCTCCGGGTTTTTAGGAGCCCCTGGGGACTGAGCTGAGGCTTACGTTCCTGGCCAGAGCTCTGGGTTCCTGGCAGTGTCTCCCCGGCTCCCTTCACGGCCACAGCTCTCCCCTCCAGAGGCCCCTCTGTAGTGGGCCTCAGTTGCCTCTCTACCCCCAGAGGCAGCACAGCTTCAGCCCTATGCAGTGTGGGGGTTCGGTCTTGGCCTGGAACTCATGGCCTTAGGCGCTGCCCCCGTGTCACCCCCATGCCCGTGCAGTCCAGGATGTTCAGCTGAGGCCACGAAGGTGGTGTGATGCGAGGCTGATCTGATGCTAAGCTCAGGCCCCTGAGGTCATGGGGGTTGTGGGGAGGTCTTGGAATCTCGGGGCTCATGCTGGCGTCACAGGGTGGTGTGGTTGTGTGGACTGGAAGGGGCCCTGCAGCCATGCATATCTGACTTGCCCTGCCCAGGTCTGCAGGCAGTGCCAAGTGACTCTGCCTGAGGCCCCAAGAGCAGCCCTGGAAGCTCCAGGCCTTCACGGCCCCCCCGAGAGCCACCTGCAAGGTGGGGAGCTGGGAAGAACGGCTCAGTGATGAGCTCGGAGGGAGGGATGGGCACAGCCCCCAGGAAGGCAGGTGGGTGCAGGCCTGGGAGGAATGTGTAGCAGGAGGCAGGGGGTGCTGTGACCACAGGACCACCAGGTGAGGCATGTCCACCCGCAGAGGATGGCTCTGGCCCAGGCAGTGTCAGAAACGGGAGCTGAGGAAACCCAACCCCAATTGTAGAGGAGGCTGCCCTGATGCCATCTGCACCTGGGGGGTGATGTATGGCTGCCAGCCCCTTCATCTACCAAGGACCAGGGCAATGGCAACGGGAGAGCAGGGACACGTGGACCCACACATGCACACACACCAGGGCAGACGGTGGCGGAAGCCAGTGTCTGAAGATTCAGTTCATTTCTTGGGGAAGGGCGTGGAACATTTGAACTTGAGCCAGAGCCCAGAGATGATTTCCTAATACAGCCCACCATCATGATCTGATGGTGGGCACAGAACTCCATGCCCAGTGGAGAAACAGTGTCCTCTCACATGTATGGAATATCCGCACACTAACCATGAACTCGGCCACAGAGAAACCTTACATTCCCAAGGACCATGCTGTTGAGAACTCACTGACTGATGAAACTGGAAAAGCAACCAACGATAACAAGCTAAACAATGCCTCTAGAAGCTAAAAGACACACCCATGACTCCACAATAATTCATGGGTTAAAGAAAAAAAAGGAAACGTGAAGATACTTGTAACCACATAAAGATGGATGCAGCACATGTCAGAGTCTCTGTGCTGCAGCTAAAGAGGTACCTAGAGGGCAATTTATAGCCATAAATACAGTGCTTTGTTTTGTGTTTTGTTTTTTTGAGACAGGGTCTTGCTCTGTCACCCAGGCTAGAGTACACTGGCATGATCTCGGCTCACTGCAACCTCTGTGCCACCCTGGGCTCAAGTGTAAAGTCCTGTGGGCAGGAATGGACACTGAGGGAATCCCAGGCTGTTTGGCCGTCCTTGGCATGTAGCTGGTCGTCTTCAGAAGATGGCTGCTGCTGCTCCAGGAGTTACACCTCACTGCGGGGAAGGGGCGGGGGTCATACTGGGTGAAGAGCAACAGCGTTAACAGGAGTCCCACTTGGAGACGTCTGCTTGTACTTGATGACAAAGACTGCAACTCTCCTTGTCCAGAAAACAGAGGTTTTAGCTGAACACACGACCACCTCCCACAAAGTGAGTAAATGCATCATGTAGGGCTCGATGTGGCTTCAAGTAACAACAACAGGATAAGAGTGACTCTCACAGCGTGGAAGTGACCCTGTCAGAGGCATAGAGGAGGCCCTTTCCCTCGGCTGGCTCTGCATCCTCCACACAGGACACTGCCCTGGTCTCCGCTGCTGGGTCACCTTCCAACAACAGGGAGAAGAGAAGGGAGAAGGGCTGGCCTGGAATCGGGTCGTGTTACACACACAGGGAGAGATAGAAGGGAGAAGGGCCTGGCCCTGGAACACTCGGTCTATGTTCCACAACAGGAAAAACAGAAGAGAGGAGAAGAGCTGGCTGGAATCGGGTCGTATTCCAACAACAGGAAGAAGAGAAGGGAGAAGGGCTGGCCTGGAATCGGGTCGTATTCCAACAACAGGAAGAAGAGAAGGGAGAAGCTCGGAACCTTGAAGGGCACATTCCAAAGGTGTCCTTGCCACTGTCAGCTACATCCCCGTGGCCAGACGTCGTCCCACGGCCAAGTGGAGCTGCAAGAGTAGAGCCTTTTCTGGCTCCTCTCTGAGGCAGGAGGGGAAAGGGAGGGTGGGGCCAGCCGTGGGCCAGCCACGGGGAGGAAGGCGGCCCCCATGTCCCCCAGGGCTCAGTGAAGTGCACTTGGCCTGAGAAATGAGAGGGCCACCACAGTGCTGGGGCAAAGAGGACAAAATCACAGATGAAGAGGCTGAAAACCAGAGCCCTCTGACCCATTTTACGCCAACAGATCTGCAGGCCCAGGTGAAATGGGCGTTCAGGCATCCACATTTCCCGAAGAGTCACCACAAAGACTCCTAGAAACAAGATGGGCACTAACAGAGGCTCCTGCCCAGCGAGACGCCAGGACTGGGGAGGGAGCCCAGCAAATCCAGGATCTGAATACAGAAGCTGAGAAACCCTGAGGATGACTCAGGCCACCCTGTGTGTGCACATGTGTGCGTGTGTCCACGTGCACGCGTGTCTGCATGCCCATGTGTGTGACAGTAGCCCACAAGAAACCATTACATGACAATGGACTGTCTCCTCCCCAAATGCGTACACACACACACCCGTACACACACGTACTCACACATTCGTGCACGCACAGCGCTGTTATCCATGTTGAGGGGACGTATTCACAAGGGAAAGTGAGGTA